GTGTAGTGAGAGAATTCTGAACTAACTATCCTACAAATTAGAAGACATTGATCACCAGAACAACTTTATCCAAGACGGAAACATTCTTAATAGTAAAGATTTCAAGATAAAAGAAATTGACTTGCGCCGCATAGTGAGAAAATTCTGTACTATTGTTCTCTATCCGCCTTAATCTACTGTGCAACTTTGCCGAAGACAGTAGCCTTTTATATGGCCAGGATCATGATATATTCCATGTGGCTGTCTTACCCCTAGGGGTGGGCAACCTTACCCCGCATGATTTTTTGCTGGCTGACTTGAATTCCTAGTTCAGGCTCCGTTGCCATAAGCCCTGCCGAACTTCAATCCGAGTTTTAATCGGCGGTTGACACACACATTGAATATAAAAAGAACTGGGATCCGGGAAAAGTTTTTTGAGATCTCGGGCTACGATTATTTATCTGGATTACGTTGAAAATGTTCAAGATTATGAGGCTTTGGTTTTTAAAATAATGCGTCTATTTTTCCAGGCTCATTTGCTGTAGCTTTGTGGAGCCGATATTCATTGTTTAGATTACAATATTACTTAAAACTAACGTTAGTAAAGCGGGGGTCGATTACTCGCGGGTATCTCGAGGTTTGGGGTGACAAATTGTAACAAATGGATGACAGGGAAGGGATTGAGAACACAAGGTTTGGAGAGCAATGTGCTCTTGATCTCGAACTAAGCGGCATACTGATGAAAAAGACAGACATGGGGTACACCGATGGGCAGTTAATAATTCGGGAGAACACACTAACTACTAAATCCTCAGATCTATCTGTTTTAAAAACACATAAATTAAATTCCAATAGTTGAGATCTCGGCTTGCCAAGATGTCTCTAAAGTGGACCCTACACGATTGCTTTTATTGTCAATAATCATATTGTCAATACATTCTATATTGACGTCAATACATCGATATTGACTATATTTCTGTATTCACATCATCAATATTATTGTCAATAATTCCCCTTCGCTTCAATATATTGATACGTGTGGGGTTCGCTTAACGTGCCGCATAGGTTGTTTTCCTCGGACCCTGAGGGATGCGGATAACTCGGATCTAGCAACACAATGGAGGGTGCATGACCGAAACACGTGGTCGATATCGTGATAGCCACTACCACAAGCGCACAAATTACTGCCTGCGAGCCCGATTCGGAAGAAATGCGAGTCTAACGAGTAGTGATTGGACATGAGCCTTGATATGACCGTATAAAGTCACGGCTCATGTCCAATCCTTTGAACCATGGCTTGTTCGATACCTGTGGGAGAATAGAATGTAACCATCTTCCCAGATCACTCTCATTCCATTTTTGTTGCCAGTTGGTGAGGACGTGCTGACGGGTATTTAAGAAAAATTCCGCAAAGGCGGTTTGTCGTTCAAAAATATCGCCTTCCATAGCGCCCACCTTAGCCAACGAGTCCGCTTTCTCATTACCCGGAATTGAGCAATGAGATGGGACCCAAGCTAAGGTGATAGTATAGGAGCAGTTGGATAAAGCACTCAGTTTAGATCGTATTTCAGGCAGGCAATACGAGGAGTGCTTCATCGGCCTCATTGAACGAATAGCCTCCAATGAGCTAAGACTATCCGTAAAAATGAAATAATGGTCAGAAGGTAGTGAGGCAATTCACTCTACTGCGTAAAATATGGCTGCGAGTTCCGCAACGTATACGGAGCATAGTTTTTGCAGCTTATAGGAGGCGCTATGAAATTGATTAAATACATCAAATCCAGTGAAAGCATTTATGGTTGACCTATTTGTGGAAAAAACTTTTATCGTTTCTTACATGGTGGTACTTGATTGGAAAAATTGAGGGAACAACCATCGACCGATGGTGATCTGGTATTCCATGGATTTCTTGAATCATGGTCAGATCAAAATTTACAGAGGAACTATAGAAGGCTTGAAAGCAATCACGATTGGAGATTAATGAAGAAGAACCAACCTCCAGCGTCATGTACTCATGGTACAAACTCATGAATCTTGTTTGAGAATTTCGGTCGAGCAGCTTCTCAATGTGTTCTATTACCAAAGGATTCTTTACTTCACAACGGATGAGAAACCGGAAAGACAGTTCAGCGAAACAATCTGTCAGTGGGAGAACACTCGCGAGTACCTACTTCGAGGTTCATCGTATGAGTCGAGTGCATACAGCCCAGCGCAATACGAAGGCAACGGTATTAGATCCGCTGCAGCTTAAGGATGTGTGTTTTTGCTGAAGTACTCTAAAACCGAAAGGATGATTGTTCGGTACAACCTGATCAGATATTCCGGGTGGGCTCCCCACCAAGTTCCGGTAATTGTTTCAGATACACAATATGTTTTCCCCATGTGCATTTGGAATCGAATCAGACACCTAAATACTTAAAAGAAATACTTTGAGTGATTGTTTTACCCATTAGCTGAAGCTGTAACTATGCAGGATGATGCTTCCTAGAAAAAAACAACCAACTCAGTTTTCTCCGGAGAGAATCCAGCTTCATAGCCCACGTAGAAAAATTGTTTAAGATATCTTGGAATGGTCCTTGCAGGTTCGGTGCACTTGGCCCTATAACGGACACAACGCCGTCATCTGTAAGCTGCCTTAGCGAGCAATTTTCATCAAGACAACCATCAATGTCTTTTACATAAAAATTATAAAGAAAGGGACTTAAACATGAGCCCTGGGGGAGACCCATGTAACTAATTCGTGAAGTTGTCGAGTATCCATGAGAAAGGCTCATATATTTCTCAGACAACACGTTGCTCAAATAGTTATTTATAATTGGTGAAAGCCCACTATCGTGGAGTTTATCCAAAAGGACATCGATACAAAAGGCTTAGGATATCTTTTGAAAATTATAAACTTGTTTTGAGATCATAGCAGAAATGTAAAAAAATACAGAAATTTCAAGACAGGTTTAACTTAGAAGTCTATGACCAATATTACACATTAATGAAAATTACCATGATTCCAGATTTGACAAATCATTTTCAAGGCTGGGGAACTTTGAAAAAAAAAAAAAATCGAAACTTTTAGAACTTTTTTAAGATCCTGAACGAAGCAACTTTCATTTAGATCAAAACTGGATGAAAATTCACACATTCTGATGTGAAAACAAGTCAATTTTGAGATGATGGATTTCGAAAAGCTTTTTAGATTGGCAATTTAATTAATTAAGTATGTGATGCCTCGGAATCCTCTTGGTCTATAAAATTGTGTACATTTGGTTACTTTTCAAGAAATTGTAGGAAAAAAAAAGATCTTGAACTTCTTCTTGAAAATATATTGTAACTCTGGGACATTGATCTACGAATCGCATAAACGCAACCCCCTGCAATGCGATCCAGTTCTTGGAACTGCCGAAAACATCAGCAGCGCTGGTGATCCATAACATATTTAAGCTCCAATCATGTAACACCGAATGCGGCAAGGTGGCAACAAATGTAATGCCTTCAAAACCATTCGTTCCAACAATGATTTAGTTGTTTTCGAATTGACGAGCACAATTTGCGTGAATCATGCTTTCCTATAACGTTATCTAGAAAACTCTATCTATTTTCAGCGACGCAGCGCGACATGTACCGAGCTTAATCATAGAGGAAAAGGAGGAGCTGTCAAATTAGCACCAGAACATCAGAGACATTTGGCTTCACTCGAGTTGTTCACAGATGACAGGCGTTGCAGTCCTGTGCATAAACGCAACTTTTTTAACTCTATACTGCCCGAATTATGGTGTTGATCCTTAGGATAATTTCTTTCGAAAGGCCTTCAATCCAATTTTAAAAAATGGTAGAAATGATTATGATCCAGGGGAAGTATGCTTTCCTTATTAGCCATACGGCCTAGCTCATGTTCATAATAAGTTTTTCCATATTTTAAGACCAACTTCCTGTGGAAGAAATTTTTATTTTTATGGAGAATTCAAAGTTTTAGGCTGTATGGCCAGTTAGAGAACCACTAGTGCCATAACTAACTGGTACGCTTTCCCTAGAAAAATTTAGCTTTTCTGGAGAGTGGTGAAAAAATATACAAATTTTAAATTTTACCTCTTTCATGACTTGTTTGCTAGAGGCAATTAACCAAGTTTGTGTTGGAATTCGGGTATTTTTCAATGAATCATAGCACGAAAACGACTCATCTAATAAAAACAAACTACCAAAATTTACCATTCAATTTTGTCCATGCTTTTTTCTCAATATGAGATAGAATTTTATTATAGATATTTTTTTTCAAAAATGGACCAAGATTGAGCCCATCGCTAAAAATCTGCTATTTATCAATTGTATCTAGATGAACGCGTCATTGGGACGGTACTAATGGATATTTTTGGTTGCTACTGAACATTTAGTCCATTGTTGAATTTATGTATGGGCCCAAATTAGGGACACTTGGGCCGACATTACATACATTTCCCCTATATGAAAAATCAAATTTTCTTGGATTTTTTTAATGTTTTTGTCCATGAGCAACCACCTTGGCATTCGATTTGTCATCAAAAAAGCTATCTTTTGATGTATAAATATTTCATCATATCCAGCGGCATTTTAAGAGATTGAATTAAATTCTTTTTTTTTTTGAAAATTGAGCATTGGTACAGCATTACAGGTACAGGACAAATACATCGGAATATCGAAAATCTATTTCATCAATATAGAATACTATGGAAGTAATCAAGTAATTATTTCTCTACAAGATAACGCTAACCGTAATGCAAATTCAACTATTCAACGGCCCATGCGTCGGTAGCATTGGACACAGTACGGAAAACAAATCAAGGGAAAAAAAACCTTCTTCAAATGTAAGAGATGGACAGCTAATCACCGTCTAAGACATGTCAAGACATTTTCGCCGGACTTTTAAACTTCTCCTTTCATGATTGACATTAACAGATTCATCCGTCAACCTCGTTCATGCATACGTCCCACATTGGTTTCACACATTCACTATTTTTTTTATTCATGCGTTTTTATTTATTTTCCTCACGCAGCTCCTCACGCTATGTCTGACAGCGTCGAAAACCCGGCTGCTGCTGCCGATGATGATGATGCTACTCCCGTATCAGCTGACAATGACAACTTGATACCATCATCACCATCGTCGTCGTCATCCAGCAGTGTCAAACCAGAAGCTGCCAGTATCGCTGCTTCTGCCTCCCCCGCAGTCGAAAGTGTGAGTCCAATGCCGGGAAGCCGACAGCAGACCGATTCCCTTCTTACGGATTCGGAGAATACCAACAACGAAAATCGAGTGATTGAAATGGAGAGTGCAGCTAATCCGCCTCCGGTGGAAGAGCCTGCCACTAGTGAAGTAATCGAAGATATCGTCGAAAAAGTGGAAGCCTCTGAATCTAGTGAAAAAAGTGCGGAAAAATCCGATGACAAGTACGCTGAGCATGTTAGCTACGACGAACAGGGTGAAGCAATCTATACTGATCCGGAAACCAAGTACCGGTACAAGTGGTCGAAGGAGAAGAATGAGTGGGTTCCATTTGATAGTGAACATTATCGGTGGTGTCTGGACAGTGAAAAGTGGATTCCGAAGGACAATCCCAAAGAGACGGAACATTACCGGTGGTGCGAGGAGACGAACCAGTGGATTCCGAAGATGGAGCAATCCCAGGAGGAGCAGCAAATCTACAGCGATGAAGATGGAGTTTACCACTATAGGGATAAGGAAGGGATGGTGCATTTTTGGGATGTAGAGAAGAAGGCTTGGTTCCCGAAGGTGGACGATGATTTCATGGCAAGGTACCAGTTGAATTATGGTTTTACGGATAACACTTCTTCCGGTGATGGGGGCGACGATAGTGAGAATTTTACAAAAGTAGAATCCGGAAAACCGTCCGAAACGGAAGAACCGGCTGAGGTGGAAGAACCGACTGATACGGAATCCCTGGACGAAGCTCATATGAAAGCTCAGGGTAAGAAGCGGAAAGCACCGCCGGAACCACCCAAATGGTTTGAACAGAAACCGGAGCACAATACGAAGGTTTACGTGACGAATCTTCCGTTGGACATAACGGAAGAGGAATTCGGCGAGGTAATGTCCAAGTGTGGGATGGTGCTAAAGGACCCCAGAACGAACAAGCTGAAACTGAAGCTGTACCGCGATTCGAACGGGATGGTGAAGGGCGACGGATTGTGTCATTATATCAAGGTGAGTGGATTTTTTAGCTATTTATTTGTAGGATGTACTTACCGATTATTTGCAGCATGAATTAATTCAAACTACGCTCTTTCGAGAATTTAGTTAAGTGAAAATTCCCTTAGAATTCTTTAAAGCTCTGCCAAATTATTTCTCCCTTAGACCGCTCCCTGAAATTACTTGACATTTTGCTTAGAGTTCCCTAAGGATTTCCATGGCATTCATCTTGAAATTCCCTTGGAATTCTCCTCAGGATTCTCCTTAAATTATCTGCATCAGAATCCTTTTAGAATGCTCATAAAAATCCTAAAACTTATCCTAAGTATTGTTATAGTATCCTCCATCTCCTCATCATTACTTTAGATATAACCTCTGAAATTATCTTCAGAATTGTTCGGAAATCCTCTTTATAATTGGTTTGAAATTATCTTCACAAATCCCTTTGAATTTTTCATAGAAGTACCTCACAAGCCCAATGGAATCATCATCAGAATTACCATGAATTATAGTAAGAATTACGATGGAGTTCTCTTCATAATTATTCAGTAAATTACCATGGATCTCTACCCATAACTCGCTTTAAATCCTCCCTAGAATGCCCTAGGAATTCTTGTCCGAATTATTTTGGTTAAAATATCAGAATTCGATTCTCTTAGAATTCTTCTCTAAATTCCCTTTTTATTCTTTTCAAAATATAATCGATAAAAATGATATAGGATATAGGGGAAATGGATGTAATGTCGGTCTAAATGCCCCTAATTTGGGCCCATACATAAAATCAGCAATCAACTAAATTTTCAATAGCGACCAAAAATATCCATTAGTACCGTCCCAATGACGCGTTCATCTAGATAAAATTGAAAAATAGCAGATTTTTAGCGATGGGCCTAATCTTAGATCCATAGGCCAACATTAGAGCCATTTCCCGTACATGACTTTTTTACACGGCGGATATTTAGCGTAAGACAGGGGACAAATGCACCCGGGGAAAAACGCCCGATTTGGATTTTCAAAACTACTCCACTCTTAATTCTGGGATTTTTTAGTATCGTACTAAACTAGCACTGAGGCTTGTCAAATTTATGAATTAAAAACGAGCATGCTATGAAAAAATGCATCTGGTGTTTTGCTCTGTAGTGCTTTTTGAAACTGTTTTCCCTACCGTGTTAAAAATGTATGCCATTTGATTACCTATGACCGAAAATATGTTATTGAAATTAGTTGGATAAATTGTATCGGTTTCAAGAAATCGTTGAAAACGTACCGCTTTCATTATCACGATTTCAGGAATTCTCCTATCAAACCCCATGTTATGTTCCTCAAAATTCCAAAGGAATTCTCATCTAAATTTACTACAAATTCTCCTGCGAATTCTTTTTGATCAAACCTCAGAATTCTCTTTGGTTTCTCCTCAGAACATTCCTTGGAATTCTCTCTCAGCTCTCCTCTAAATTCCCTTGGAATTCTAGTCAGAGCTTCCTTGAGATTCTTCCTAGGGTTCCTTAGAAATTCCCAGCAGAAATCTCGTAGTAATTTCCCTTGGAATTATCCATAGACATTATTTAAAATTTTCCTTAAAATTCCACTGCCAAAATTTTCGGAATTCGCTTGGAATTTGTTTTTTTTTCTATTTGATCTATCCTCATAAATGCGATCCTAGGAATCCTTCGTGGATTCGTGAATTTTCCTTAATACTCTTTCGAAACTATTTTCAGAATTCCCTCCGAATTCTTAACTGATTTCCACTGAATTCGCGACCGAATTCCTTCTGAATTCTCCACAGAATTCACTTTGGTATTTTCTTTATAATCTTCGTGCATTTTTCCTTAAAATTGACTTAGAACCATTCTATTCTGATCTATGGAGGAGTTCTCCTTAGAAATTCCTTTGATTTCTTCTCAGAATTTCCCTAGAATTCTAGCAAAATCTCCCATGGTGTTGAAAAATTCTTCCTGGATGGAACTCCCTTTGAATTCTCCTCGAATTTTTCTATGAAGTCTCTTCAGAATGTTATAGAAATTATATCCAGAATACCCTTTGAATTCTCTTTAATATTCCCTTGACATTCTATGCAATACTCCATTCTTCGCAGAAAATCTTAAGATTTTTCCCTGAATACCCTAGAAATTCTCCCCTGAATTTCTTTGTAATCATCCTATATATATATTAAATCTCATAAAATTGTCCAACACCTTGAGAATATTTTTAGCAAGAAATCTTTAAAAAAATACAATACAGTAATGACCCGATTTTGTAAGCTTCCTTTTTGAAAATCTTTTCTAATGTTCCAGCCAGGCATGGAAAATCATTTACATCATTTCATGCATTCATTTACATTCATTTGCCTCTAACTTTTTTCATCAACAGCATTCCGCAAAATGATGTATAGAACTTTAGTAGATTTTGTTATTAGCTACAACTTTTGCCCAAATCTGTATCTCTTATGCATCACGAATTAGAACGGGCAGAACTTGTTACTGTTTTTCAGTGAATGTAAAATAAATTCACTGAAAAACAGTAGTAGATTCTGTTCGCTCTGGTTCGTCATGCATAAGAGATACTGATTTATGTTGTTAGCAAAAGTTGTAGTTAATATCAAAACCTACAAAAACTCCATACATCATTTTGCGGAATTCTGTTGATGACAAAAGTTGAGGGCAAATGAATGTAAATGAATGCCCAAAATGAATGCAAATAATTTTCCATGCCTGGTTCCTACTAAACCCATGTGCTTTTTCAGTGGTCTTATTGCACCAAAGTATTCCTTAAACATCAAGTTTGAAGACTAATAAGAAACATTTGGAATTACGGTTATGTGAAATTATTGGAATACGGGTCATATCTGTATTTCTTTTAGAATCTTGAATATTTCTTAAAGCTCGGGACTCTCAATTACTGACCAAAAGAAAAAATACCGATTCCAAAAATTAAGTCTGAGATCTCAAAAAATTAGCAATGTCCCAGCTTAAAAAGTCCTGTCAATTGTCGAAGGTAATAATAATTTTTCTAAATGATTCCAGTCCTAAACAAATTCTAAGCCACAGACACGTGATTTGTTGTTAGCTTCACGATCTCCAAAATCTCGTCGCATTTTAAATATTTATGTTAATTTTGGATTCTTCAACACTTGAATATCATCATCTTCAGCACATAATACATCATCTAGCTTCTGTCTCATGTCCTGGGTATTGATTTCTACAAGTTTGAGATCTCACGCATCTCACTTTTACATTTTTCAGACCAGCGCTCTATCTCACTGTTTACACTTTTCTAAAATTTCAAGTCCCATAATCTGGAACAGTTTTAGATTAGGATCTTGAAATTTGTTCCCAGTCCAAAACTCACAATCTTGATATAAAACATTTAGTTCATTCAATCAAAGTTTTTTGTTTGGTTTGTGGATTTGAGGAAATACCCATCATCCATCAATGTATGAGTTAGGTAAAGGGAGTGCGCGTTTGATTAGTATTGTCGCATTAATCAGCCTTCGCTCAATTTCAACTTCTGTTCAATTTCCACACTGCCGTACTCTAGCGGAACTATCAATCTATCCTCTTCAGAACTTTCTCTAGCTAATAAATTATCGATCTAAACCTCAAATTAGTGATCTAGATACACTTCCACAGTTATTAATTGAGAGCTTTCGATGCCTGTACCATTTTTACATTAGTATAATTGTGTGGCAAGTACAATCAGGGAAGTCGAGAAATTTTCCAACCCGAAAATCCGGACCCGACCGGATCGAAAATCGAACCTAACCACCTCCAGCATGGTCTTGCTTTGTAGCTGCGCCTTTACCTACTGATCTAAGGGAGGCCCCAATTTATCTACAATCCTCCTCGAAATGTATATGGCATTCCCATTCAAAATCTCTAGATAATTCTTCAAACCGTCTGAAACCTAAAATTTTCTCCATGACTGTTGAACTTTTGTTTAAATATGAGATGAGTAGGGTAGAGCGCTACTTCGTCGTAATCGTCCATTTTCGTTCTATCGAGCAGAAAACATCAGTATAATCAATGATTTCACCGTGCACAAATCAGTAATACGATTGTACTGATGCGTTAGTTCGCAAGCTACAACACAAAGCCTATTAAAGCGTATTGTGTGAAAATTTACACTCATTGTTCTCAAAACAAAAGAAGCGCTCCTAGAAAACTCGCTTTTTCTACCTTCATCCATAGGACGAAGAAAATCCAATGGCGTTTCAATGCGTTTGGAAGGAATTGAAACTCGTAGGACGAACTTGGGATCAAGAAGCAGTGTTAGATTTTTAACAATATCTCAACAATGTGAGGATTTTTTTTTATCAAATTCAACGGTATTTATGGAAGGGGAATAAATTTAGAAGTCATCTTTGATAGAAACGTTTCATTTATTGTTAAAACCCGTTCAAGAAAGAGAGATAAAGCGTGGGTTGTGCTTAGTAGGACGGAAATTAGATCAAAAACCCTACTAGAACTTGTGACAGTGCGTCTAATAGATATATGAAAATACGTGTCACAAGCACGGAAGCGGACGAATCGAACAAGTTGTGGACGTCATTTTCGAATCGCTTCTAACTATGAATCTAAGTGATGAACCAGCGCTGAAGGTCTCATTAGTAAGGATAACCTAACCTAACTATGAATATTGAAAGTTTGCCTGAATTCCACAGGAATCCAAATTTGGATTCCCATAAATTTAAATTGTTCTTAAACCTTGATTTCATTTAGCCTAGGTATCCTGAGTACTAAACATTGAGAAATATTATGAATTTCGATAAAAATATCTATGTGTCGCCAAGCAACATTTTTGGTTTTATCATGGTCTTGTAGTCCCCGATTTAGACTTTAAAAAGGCTTTCAAACCTTTCAGGATAAAATTTGAAATGTTGCTTGGGTTCCGATGTGACTGGTAGTCAGTGATTCAAAATATCATGACACTCACTCGACACTCGTCAACGCATCAACCGACTATCACTGACAGAACGTTTTGTCACGCAGTGAGAGGTAGAGCCATGGCAAACAACA